AATGTGTGACTTTTTGATCAGTAGATGTCGCCCTTGAGCACTCCACCACACTGAAGCCTCCGCTCTCCTCCAGAGACACACCTCAAACCCTCACACCTGGCGTTTGCACTAAGGAGTCAATCGCAAGCGGTGTACTAAATTGTTCTTGAGCTGCAATCACCTGTGTCCTGCATTGTTGTGTTAGCATGCTAATGTTAGCGCTCTTTAGTTAGCTTCACATTGAATGTAAATTTAAACGGCATGACCGTGATCTAAAAAACATACATGACGTTCAAATAATCAGTGAGTATGTTCTTCTTCTTCTCTCTAGTTCTTGACTAAAACAGCTTTTATACACAAGGGGAGGAGCCGGCCGTCCCGTCCATGTAAACACGGCTCTGACAACACACAGCCAGCGGACTCGAGCTTCTCCTCATTGTAGACAGTCAGGATCAGAGACACATTGACACAGGATATACTGTTTATGTGTAAATAGTCGCACATTCTTCCTTAAACCTTGTGCAGCAAATACAACTTTAAACACAGACTCACTCTGTGGACGCACTAGCTCTCTCAAATTTGACCATCGTGTATTCCACATCTCATAATCTTCCTCCTCCTCCTTCTTGGGTTGTTTTGGTCTTTGTCTCGGTCTGTTTTGCGGGGCTTGCAAAATGTTAGAGTAGAGAGGATCTTCCTGGTTTTTAGAGAAGGTCACAGAGGCATAACAAAGTTCTTCCTGCACCTCAGCTGGTTTTCTTTGTGCTGAAGACGAAGAGTTTTCACCGACTGAAGCCACCTGAAGCTGAAGAGTAAATATAGCATTACGTGGGTAAGAAGGTTTTCTAAGAAGCACTTGGAGTGACTTTAAGACTTCATCAGGCAAACATTTTAGAAGCATCTTGTTAAAAGCCAAAAACCATCGAACAATGAGACCTGATCTTGTCTTTATACCTGTCCTCCGTTGTCTGTTCTCTCTTCAGGCTTGTTGGATCTCTTTCTTCTTGATACATAAAATATATGAAGAAAAAAAGAATGGATGAAATAGTAAAAAGACTGTACTGAAGCTCTGTTCATGGATAAATCCCTCTGCTCACCTTATGTATAGGAAGATGATGATGAGGAAAATGATAACCAGAAAAAGAGCAGTGATTGATCCAGCAGCTACTGATTTCATTGAACCTGAGAAACAGAGAATTCATTCAATAACTGATAAATGATCACAGGATTACATGTTGTTTGGGTCAGTGACACTGCACGACTTGCTCTTTATGTCTCAGTTCATGGGAGGTCTCCCTCTGCTGCCTCCTTTTGGGTGGTGGTGGGTAATGTGTTCATGGTGCTATTTTCCTGCGCTCAAAGCTCCTATCTCTCATATTGAAGAGGAACAAATTAAATAGTTTAAAGGTCTTGTTTATGAGCACAGCAGTGTATCCATGAGATGAAAAATGAGACGGATATCGCGGAATATATATATTCATTCTCACGTGAAGCTCACCTGAAATTTCAGGAAGTTTACAGGAGTTTTGTGCATGTGTGAACGCTCCATATGATAGCAGATTGTAAAGTTGAACGTCTGTATGTCCTAGTCAGTGGACAGGGTACTCTGCTGCAAAAGGGTGGGTTGCATCCTTTGGGTTGGGAACATCTTGGTGCTCAGTTTGAAGGGATTAAATAGTTTAAAGGTCTTGTTTATGAGCACAGCAGTGTATCCATGAGATAACAGTAACAGTTTTAATACAACACAAGCTCGCTAACCGTGAACTCAGACCGCATCATACAGTATATTGATTGGCAAAGGAATCTATCTTGCAATATAGTTGTCGCCGAGCCTTTAAGATGGATAGATTAAGTTTACAGGAATAAAATGTGCAGTGACACCAAGCAGGGTTGTACTGTTATTGAGACTGGCTGTTTAAAGGCCTTATATGCGATTTTTTTGATCCAGCAGATGTCGCCCTTGAGCACCAGCATGAAACCAAAACAACTTGCGCTGCATTGTTGTGTTAGCATGCTAAAGCTAGCGATCTTTATTATGCTCGTATCTTCATCTACATCTATCTATGTAAATTTACCCGAAATGACCGTCATCTAGAAGCGCTTACGTGACATTCAATTAAGCAGTGAGTACAGTATGTTATTCTTCTTTTCTCTAGTCCCTCAATTAAACAACTTTTATACACGAGGGGAGGAGTCAGCCGGCCGTCCTGGCGATGTAAACAAACTGAAGATAGGACTCTGAAAACTCTGAAAACATCACAGACAGTGGGACTCAGGTGTTACACCCATTGTAGACAGTCATGACTCACAGAGTTATTTTCAGAGGATATAATTGATTTCTACATTTACGTGTGAAAAATCACATATTAAGCCTTTAATGTAATGTGGACATAAATCATGTGAATTCAGGTTAAAAGCACGACTTACCTGAAACAACAATCGAATGAAAGGTGGAGTTACGGAGTCCTCTACTATTGTGGGCTTGACAGTAATAATTCCCACTGTGTTCAGACTTAATGTCTTTGATAGTGAGGATCTGTCCTGACGCTATCATGGTGAGTTCATCCTCCTTGTACCAGGTGTAATTAGCTGCTGGGTTAGCATCACTGCTACAGGTCAGATTCATTGAACTGCCCTCCATTATCTCAGCAGAGGGACTCACTGACACAGAGGGAAGCTTTGGAGCATCTGGAGGAAAACATGCAGAATAACACAACAGTAAAGGCAAAAGAAAAAAATAGGTTTCTGTTTTAAGTTTCTGATGGTGGAAGATTTATAGTAGAAGTATATAATTCAGGCAGTCTATTTGGCTCAACTTTGGAAGGTAATTTGTGCAGAACTGAACACAATACTCATTCGCTTGTTCTGTGTACTTTCGGGAAGTATCTCCCTGTGACCAGCATATAGATGAGGAGGTAATACAGTGACCTCTTTAAACTACTAAAAGCATGTGGTTGTACTATTAAGACAGGATTGAGAATATTTACAACTCTTGTTTAAACAATTGTTTGTTTGTGTTCCAGAAAAGAGCGATCAGACTTATGAACAAAGTGAACGTTAGAGAACATACTAACAGACTGTTTATAAGCTCACGTGTTGAAATTTCAGGATCTAGTTCACTTGAAAACATTATTAGTCATGTTTAAAGCTAGAAATAGATCATCACCAGAAAATGTACAGAATTTGTTTGTATTTACATCTAATGAGGAGGATCATAGACGGAGATTTAATTTTAAAAGTCCATTTGCACGCACTACATTAAAACAAATGTGTATCTCAGTAAATGGAGTTAAATTCTCTCTATAATCATTTAAAACTCTGCTCAAGTATCATTCAATTTAAAAGAATGTATAAAGAAAAGGTTCTGGGAAATTATGAATGTATTGAGTTAATCTAACTGATTGTATTTGATTGTTTCTATATTTTTGATCTATTTTTTGTTTTGTGAGAGAAAGAGAAAACAACAGGTTAGTCATCATATTCTGTTAAACACTATCTTGTGTTATTAGGAAAAGGGGGGGCAGGTATTATAAGTGTTCTTCTTCCTGCTCCTGTTTGCTCATGAACAGTGTTTCAGCATTATGAGAAAATATTTTTTGTTGTGTATATATGGTGTTGAAACCATACACTGAATTGAGCAAATAAATCAAATATGAAATGAAATGAAATTGTTAATGCAGCTGGACAACAGCACATCTTTTCTACCACCTTAAATCGACTGACTGTACTAAAGTACGCTCAGTGTTGATGTGATTGTAATCACTTACACTGAACATCTACATGTAATCCTGTGGAGTTTCTCTGCCCAAACTTATTGTTAGAGCTGCAGAAGTAGATCCCGCTGTCCTTGGAGCTGATAGAGGTGAAAGAATAAATGCCAACTTGTCCTTGAAGCAGTGTTTGGTTCTCCTTGTACCAGGTATAATTAGCTGCTGGGTTAGCATCACTGCTACAGGTCAGAGTCACTGAACTGCCCTCCACTATCTCAGCAGAGGGACTCGCTGACACAGAGGAAAACCTTGGAGCATCTGGTTGACAAAAGAGAACAATTCATGAATCTTTATGAACCAAATCATTTTAAGGCATTGGCTGCCATTAGTTTGAAGTAATAGTAAAAACAAATTATGAATCATTTTGATGCCACAAGTTGTAAATATGTAATCCTCCTCCTTTAGAAATCTTGCCAAGAGTCAAAAGGCCATTGTTACATCTATAAAGGTGACATGTAGGCTATTAATCAACTGTACATTTCACTTGGCCACTGATGTCCTTTTCCTTCCGCATGCATCTTCTAATTTTTGGCGGGACCTGTGCTCACAGCCCTGCATCATGCAGCTTGATTGGCACGTCTTAGAGATATCACCAGAATTGCAAGGTCCACCATTGGTGGCCCGTTCTTTTTACAGATTTGAGCAGGTTCACATTGAACACAGGAGACAGGCATGAAAGAATCTGGAGACGTTGTGATGAATGTAATACTGCCTGTAGCATCGCCCAGCATCTGGGGTGGGTCAGTGATGGTCTGGGTAGACATGACAGCCCCTCACAGCCAACCCTGACTGCTGGTATGTACCGGGATGAAATCCTCTGAGCAATTGTCAGACCTTGCGCTTGTGCAGTTTGCCCTGTGTTCCTCCTGGTGCAGGAAAATGCCTGACCTCATATGGCCAGCAGGCTGTTCCTGGATAATGAAGGCCTTGATGCCATTGACTGCTGCTATTGCTCCCCTGACCTAAATCCAACTAAGAACCTTTGGGACATTAGGAATCAGGAGCTCACTGATGCCCTGATCCAGGTCTAGGAGGAGACCTCCAAGGACACCATCTGCTGACTCATGAGGATCTTGTCCAGATCTTGTTGTGAGTAAATACAGGCAGTGGGGAATACAGGCAGTCCTGAGTCACATTAGAGCTGCTGTGATCAAATTCACCCAAGTCGGATCAGCCAATTTTTAAAATTTTGATTTTGGTGATTTAGAATCCAGCCCTCAGTGGGTTGATGGATTTGTTTTCTATTAACTGTTGTTACTTTACAAATTATAGAATGTACATCAGTTCATCAAGATTTTCAAATTTAATAATTCATTAATCAATTAATTAATGTTACATTTTCCCATGGAGCATTGTACCAAGATGCTCTACCGACTACATTATTAAGAAATTATGTGTTAAGAGTTAGTATGTGCTTTAAGCTTTAGCCCAAGGAAAATTGGCCGAAGGAACTTTGTCTGAATAGAATACAAAATATGAAGTGTTGACTTTTGCGCTTTCACTGGACATCTACAAATAGAGTTGAAGAGTTGATCCGTCCATAGTGATTCTCAGATGTGCAGTAGTACATCCTCTGTCCTCAGGCTAATGGATGTAAAATAATAAATGCCTTTTCGTCCCTGAGCTGCTGATTGGTTCTTCTTGTACCATTTAAAAGTAGCTGCTGGGCTAGCATCACTGCTACAGGTCAGAGTCACTGAACTGCCCTCCACTATCTCAGCAGAGGGACTCACTGACACAGAGGGAAGCTTTGGAGCATCTGGAGAAGATAAGTTAGTAGTAAATATTCTATGTTGAGGTATGCTACCACCATAGCACAGAGTAATTAAATCATAAACTGAATAACGTTGTGTAGCAACATTTTAGCTGATGATTGTCTGAAACATACGTACAGTAAGCCTATGTGACAAAACTCCCCAGTTCTAGCTCAGTGGATTGAAGCTAAGTGTGAATGAATTTCTAACGTGAAAGCTGAGTACAATCTTCTCCCATAGAGACAGGAGAGATAAAAACTGTTTGTCATTTTTCACTCACATTTCACATCAGAGATAAAGTGTTCAGATGTTCTCCTCCCCAGATCGTTCTCAGCCGCACAGTAAAACTCTCCAGAGTCAGACGACTGGACGGAGCTGAAGACGAGCTCTGGTCCTTTACTGAGAGGTTGAAAGTCTGGGTTCCCATTCTTCTTGTACCAGGTATAATTAGCTGCTGGGTTAGCATCACTGCTACAGGTCAGAGTCACAGTACTGTTCTCCACTATCTCAGCAGAGGGACTCACTGACACAGAGGGAAGCTTTGGAGCATCTGAGGAAGACATCAGGAGACATTACTCAAAGATAAGAACATTTGATCATAGATACATGTTCATTTTTATCTAGATGTCTTTATGTTCCTTTTTGGTCACAGTGGCTGTTAAGTGCTGACCATGGAGCTCGAGTTTTACTTCTTTTTTTGTCTTGTCATCAACTCTGTTCAATATACATAACAAACTAAGGCTGTGAGCTTCCAGGTTATTTTGAGGAGTCTCTTTCTTAAACATTGAATATGTGTTAATCGTTTTAGCTTTTGCTTCATCACTGATATCTTCACGAGACTGAAGCTTAATCTTTAGTTGCTTTTGTACTCAGATTCTGTTTTAACTCTGTTGTGATCATTTAAAAACTGTTACCGAGCAGTTTAATATTACTCATTTGTAAACAGAGTTAAAGGAGCAGTATGTAGCTCTGACACCTAGTGTTTAAAATGGGTACTGCAGTCCAAATTCTAAACATTGGAGAGAGCTGGCTTTTATATTTTACACATTGGACTTTTAAATCTATAAGATTCCAGCAGGGTTTTAAGGGAACTTAAAGTGTAAGTGTGCTGTGGCGTTAGTCTTTAAGTGTGTTTTGTGATTTAGTCAAGTTTACTCACACACTGAAGGAGAGGGGAATCGATCATGTCCGTTTAAGGCACAGGAGATTTCATCCTCAAGAGAAAACGAGCCTTTATAGGTAGAAGTCACAGCTCTGGTTATTTTCTGTTTGTTGCTGAACCAGACGTATGAGAGACGACCGACTTCACTGCAGTTGCTGTGACACGTCATCTCCACCTCAATGGAATGCTGATCGGCTCTTATCCTTTTAACCTGAACCTGTAACGCTGGATATGGAGGAAAAAAAGTGAATTGTCTCTGTTCTAAAAAGAGAGAGATTAGATTTAGATGCACATCATTTGAACTTCCACAATATCTAGAAGTCAAAGCAAGAAAACTAAGAGTCTGTGACCACACAGCCTTTATTCTGACAAAAGCTCCAACAGAGAACTTGGATTAAAATGCCTTTTTTTGGTCTGACTCAGTCAGCGCACACAAATTAGGCGTCTTTTCTATAATAATAATGATAATAATAATAATAATAATAATAATAATAACTTTATTTATATAGCACCTTTAAAAACACAGGTTTAAAAGTACTGTGACAAACAACAAAGGCAAGAACAAAGCAAACTAAACCAAACACAGAAGAACATAAACAACAGCAAGAGTATTATGATCATTTCTGTCTGACATACTTTACAGCTTGGTGTAAAACCGAGCCTAAACAAGCTTCCCCTCTTCAGATTGTCTTTAGGTAACGTTTGTTAAGAATTAGGGCTCTTCAAATAAAAATTGTTTTCCAAAGAAAGAAAAGTAAAGGACAAAAGCTTCTACCTGAAGAGTTCAAAGATTTGAAACTAAAAAACTCAGAGAAGCTGCTAAAAAGTTGGATTGCTCTAAATCGTTGGTTCTCAACTGGTCTCACCTCAGGACCGACTATCAACTATGAGGAAGTGTAAACCAAATTATCTGATATTTGTCAACCAATGAGATGTATTTAAATGTTGTGCAGTTTGGACCTCAGA